CCTGGTCCCGCCTCTTCGCTGGTCGCCACTAGGTCCACTCTCCTTGCTCCATGAGCTTTATCATACCTCTTCTTAAAGCTATGTATGGATATATGTGTATGTGTATGTGTGTGTGTATGCACACGTGTGCGTGCGTGTGTTGATAGGTATTTGTTAATTATTTATGCACATATCTTTCTCCCCTCTCCCCCCCCCCTCCCTTTCACCCTCAAAAATAAATTTATACACATTACCGTAGCATAGTTGTCTCCCTCCCCCCCTTCCCCCTTCCCTCCCTCTCCCTTCCCCCCTCTTTCCCCCTCCCTCCCCCTTCCCCCCCTCCCTCCCCCTAACCAAGAAACACGTTTAATACCACATCACAAAAAATGAAAAACTACAACAACAACAATAATAATAATAATAATAATAATAATAATAATAATAATAATAATAATAATAATAAATGAATAATTGAATAATAGAATAATTGAATTACGTATTATCTAAATTTATCACGCTAACTCTCCTGTTTTATCACGTTCACATTATTTACACTTTGTGTTTCATTTGGGGAATAGAAACAAATTGAGAAGTTTCCATCAAAATCGATAATTTTTTTTTTTTATTTATGTAGTATTTTTTTTAAGTTGATTCCTAACTTTAAAAGTTGATATCTTATATGTAAAGTTTATAAAATGTATTCAGGGTTCACGAGTCTTAAAAATGACGAATCGTTCATTAATATTACAGAAGATTCTCTAAAACTGAAATTTTTATTTTATAATTAAAAAAAATGCAGGAATGCATACAACTAGAATTGCCAAGCAGTTTGCTTCTCTTACACTGCCATTCTAAACCGCTGCTCTCAGTGACTGACAGACAAACTGCCTCTGGTGCTCCATGGACACTGACTTACCCTCACATTAAGATAATGTTGGTGGAATTACCGACAATATGTTAGGTACAAGGACACAAGTACAACTAATGTTATATTTTGTGTCAACATTGCTACAATAAGTTACTTTCGTTGCACTTGTATCTTTTTACCTAACACATTAAGACAGACCTACTTACAGTCAGGCTGGGGAAATTATGGTATTCTTCAGTCTTCTTCAAGACGATATAAACTGTCATCGCAACTCCGCATTAAGTATCCCGCAAGCAAACCTCTGGGTCACCGTTTGTTTACTTCGAAGACCCAGCGACAATGGTGGCAGCGGTGGGATTATAATCCACAAGTCATATGACATACTTGCCTATTTGTTGCTTATTTTGGAATTTTGCTGAACAGTGATAAATTATATGAAAATAATGGATGGTGGTAGGTATAACCCAATGACATTTTGCTAGTAGAATTTTAAAGCTGAGAAGAATAAGCAGCACAAGCCACTGTGTGGGCCCTACTTTTATTGATGGATCTCCAAAGTATGCACTTGTTGATGTAAAGATTTGGTACTTTTAATGTACTGAAGGTGAGAGAGGTCACTCGCACCCATCTTGATTATATCTAAGCTTGTCTTAATGTGAGAACAAGTCAGGACGCCCAACAACCACCTTAAGCCTGTGCGCATGACTGACCGAGGTGTGCTTAAGGGTCATTTTGTACAATGGTTTTTAAATAATAAGGCAGTAAACCCAACCAACTACAAAATAGTACACTATTAAATATTAGAACTATACGTAAAACTTCACAGTCACACATAAAACCGTACACACATTAAGCTGCATAATCACAAAATTGTACAATAACATGAAAATTGCACACTTATAAAACTTTCAGAGAAGTGTATTGTGCTAGACCTTCTACCTGCCATCCATTATAGTTTCCAAACATATTGCACGTAAATAGCTTTTCTTAGGAACTGAAAAGTCACCAGTAACTAGTAACGAGACAAGTTCTGCCACCCCGCGCACTAGTACATCCCAGAGCTAGTTAACTAGATCATCCCAATGCTAGAGAAAGTTATGCGCATCTCTCCTCTAGTTCGCTTTGCTAGACCTTTACAATTCACTTTTCAGAGTATAATTCCGAAATTCACTGTATGCTAGAGATCAAGTTCTAGATTTCACCACACACGAGAGGTCTAATTTTAGCTGCACATAAGAGCTCAAGATTTATCTTTCACAGCACACGAGAGCACAGCTGAAGGTTTCACTGCATATACTAGACCGCAGTTCTGGCTTTTCCTGCTTAAGAGATGTTGAAGCTACCCAATGTAGCACACGAGAGCCCAGTTTTGCTTTAAACTACACACGAGACTTTAAATCTACTTTGCTTTGCCATCTGGAAACCTGTTAGTTTAAGCACTCTTAGCATCTCTGAAACATCAAAAATGTTTAGCTTTATACACTGTTCGTGTTTTATCATTACTGTTCAGTTTAACGCACTTTTCACTCTATGTCTGCACCTGACACGTAGTGTAGATCACTTTAGTATACAGTGATAGCTTTGAATTGTAGCTGCCAACATTTGAACTGCTTATAGCTGTGGTTTACTTCACTGTAATAGCTATTAATATTATAGTCACAGCTGTGTGGGCCATTGACACAGCTGTGGGAGCTACGGTCCCCTTAATCACCTGTTCCACCCGTTACCTGTGTTCATTTGGCTGTTCGTCTGGACTTTTAAAGTGCAAACTGAATGCTGAAGATTCCTTAGGCATCGTAAATTCTGAATTCTGCCATTTGTAATTTATTTTAATTAAAGAATGATAATGCATTCAGTAAGACACCAAATAATGATAATAATAATAATATAATTATTATTATTGTATCAGCCAAATTAACACACATCGCTTCTAGGCTTCAGACAGACTAATATATTTTTCTTAACGTACACAGAGGCAAATCCATTTTCAGTGTTCAATTTGTCTCGCTTCTCTCCTTGCAGTAAGTTTCTAAATATCTGATTAATTAAAAAAATAAGGCGATGGAAGTATTTAAAAATAAAGATTGACGAGTAAAGAGATTGGAGATCTTGTCTTACTTGGTTTATTAAGATGTTTTAATAGTGTAGTTGGAGCCTGGATGCTGGAACGTGATCTGTTCATCTCAGGGTGATGATGCCTGTTCATCCCAGGATGTCTTTTTATTCCAAGATGATGCCTGAACGTCCCATGATGATGCTTGTTCATCCTAGGATGATGATGCCTGCTCATCCCAGGATGATGATGCCTATTCATTACAACACCTTTTGTTCACATCGCCACCGGTGGTGTTTCAACTACCGTCACCACCACTGTTGCTGCCTTTATTGCGTTATTATCACCATCACCATTACTACTCCCACCACAACTTTGTGATGACCACTCACCAACTCTACCACCATCACGACCACTATACATCAGCCGGTATAATGAATACCATTGCAACCAGCAACAGTAATAAGATTGACCAATTGCATTCTACACTCACCACCATCCAATACCTCTCTCACCACCACCTACTTGCAACATCCTCACCACCACCTTGCACCACCACCACCTACTTGCAACATCCTCACCACCACCTACTTGCAACATCCTCACCACCACCTACTTGCACCATCCTTATCACCATGCACTACCTCCACCTACTTGCACCATCCTCACTAACACCTGCTTGCAACGTCCTCACCACCACCTACTTGCACCATCTCACCACCTACTTGCACCATCCTCACCACCACCTACTTGCACCACCACCACCTACTTGCAACATCCTCACCACCACCTACTTGCACCACCACCTCTTTACACCACCCACCTACTTGCATCACCTACCACCACTACACTACCACTACCTTGCACCAACATTACTTGACACTCACACCTACTTGCACCACCATCCACATCTTGCACACCACCACCTACTTGCACCACCACTACCTACTTGCACACACTACCACCTACTTGCACCATTCACACACCTACTTGCACACCACCCTTGACCATCACCACCACCTACTTGCACCACCTACTCACCTACTTGCACCACCACCACCACCTACTTGCACCACCACCCTCTTGCACCACCTACCACCTACTTGCACACCTTGCACACACCACTACCACCTACTTGCACCACTTCCTTGCACCACCACCACTACTTGCACCACACTCACCACCTATTGCACCAACCACCCACCTACCTTGCACCACCTCACCACCTACTATCACCGCCACTCACTTGCACCACCACTTCTTGCACACCACCACCCCTGCACCACCACCACCTACTTGCACCACCACTACCACCCTTCACTTGCACCACCACACCTCTCTTGCACCACCATCTACCACACTACTTGCAACCACCTCCTTGCACCACCTTGCACCACCACCACCACCACCTACTTGCACCACCACTTCCTTGCACCACCACATCCTCCTTGCACAATCACCACCTACTTGCCAACCACCACCTTCCTTGCACCACCACTTCCTTGCACTACACCTACTTGCACCACCACTTCCTTGCACCACCACTTCCTTGCACCACCACCCCACTACTTGCACCACCACTTCCTGCACCACCACTCTTGCACCACCACTGACACCTACTTGCACACCACCACCACCACCTACTTGCACCACCACTTCTGCACACCACCACCTCCTTGCACACCACCTACTTTGCACCACCACCTGACCACCACTACTTGCACCACTACCACCTACTTGCACCACTCTTGCCACCTATCTTGCACCACCACTACCACTCCTTGCACCACCACCACCACCTACTTGTACCCACCACTTCCTTGCACCACCACCTACTTGCACCACCACCTACTTGCACCACCACTTCCTTGCACCACCACCACCTCCTTGCACCACCACCACCCTCCTTGCACACCACCACCACTTGCACCAACACCACTTCCTTGCACTACCACCTACTTGCACCACCACTACCACCTACTTGCACCACTACCACCTACTTGCACCACCACTTCCTTGCACCACCACCACCTCCTTGCACCACCACCTACTTGCACTACCAGCACAATTTTTTCCCTCACTAGGTTTCTCCCGCTACAGGTTCTCTTCTGGGGACCTCTCAGCTGAGTGTGACGATGAGGAGACTGGTCTTCGCAAGCAAGAAGTTATTACCCAACAGGTGAGTCTCCAGTGCCTTTCATGAAGAGTTAAACCCGTGTGGGCCATTCCAGAGTGGTATAGGCTCGATTCTCCTGCCGTTACTGACTGTCCTTCTCTTTGACTAGGCTGTTTTAGATTTCTGTGGGGCTTTGAGACGAGATTTCTATTGTAAATCAATAATATACTGATTGGGGGGATTGTACACTCTCCAAGGTGTCAGGAAGCAGGACAAGTGTCTCCTGACGTGGGTCTTAATCATATGATGACCCACAGATGTACTCAGTATATATCTCTTGTCCTCACTAGAGTTCCCTTAGAGTACATTTAGGGACGCTCACTGTATCACAGTATTTACATTTCAGTGAAAATTCGCGAATTAGTCTTATTTACAATCATCCATAGCTTAAGTGACCACCTAAGCCACTGGAGTTAGCAAGAGATGACGCTTCGTATCAATATTAATTTGCGAAAAACTGAACGAGATATATAATTGTTTGCAATCGTGTCATTACGATTTCGTGAATCATATAACGATTTTTTTAAAAAAACTGAAGTGTTGAGCCTCTAGTTTACACAGCTGGACGGTCCAATATTGGAATGTTGACGACCTGCCTTGTGTGGATGAACAAAAACGCCATTACAGAACAAGATACTATTGAGAAAGCTTTTGGCTCTGTGTAGAGCTTTATCAAATCATATTTAGATCTGTGTAGAGCTTTACTGTCTGGATTCTTGTGAGTAATAAGCCATAAATAGAGTTATTCCTCTTTCATTTTGTTGGTAGGTAGATATAATGTCTGTCAGGAAATAGGACAAGTGTTTCCTGACGCGGGTTTTAAGTCATATAATGACCCTGGAGATTTTGGGTATCTGAACGAGACCTTCCACTGGCTTACCGGTCCACCTCTTTAAAAAATATCGTAGAGTATAACCATTATTGAATATTAAAATAAAATATAAAACTACGTATTAAAAGGTATTGTCCATTATTGCATTATTTTATGTATATAAAATATAGATTATAGACAGTTTACGTAGTATTTAGATACATATGTTAAATTTTAGTTGTATTTATTAATATTACTGAAATATTTTTAAAGTGCATTACAGAGTTTTTTTCAAATTTCATTTAGAAATACGTGTTTCAAAATTATGGACCTAATTTAAAATAGGTATATATTTCAAATCGGGTCCATCAATTTAAAACACCCTCCATAAGTATGAAAATGTCAAGCCATTTTAAGTGTAACTTTACACAATATTTATAACCATATATTATTTACATGTAAATGATGAAACAATACATTCAAATTTATTATTAAAAAGTGTAAATTATTTAACTTTATTTGCACTATTTGCACTAAAAAAGTTTTTTAAGAAGTGTTTACAAGGTTAAAATGTTTGAGTTTACCCTTATTATTATTAGTAGTTAAAATGTTTGAGTTTACCCTTATTATTATTAGTAGTTAAAATGTTTGAGTTTACCCTTATTAGTAGTAGCTAAAATGTTTGAGTTTACCCTTATTATTAGTAGTAGTTAAAATGTTTGAGTTTACCCTTATTATTATTAGCAGTTAAAATGTTTGAGTTTACCCTTATTATTATTAGTAGTTAAAATGTCTGAGTTTACCCTTATTATTATTAGTAGTTAAAATGTTTGAGTTTACCCTTGTTATTATTAGTAGTTAAAATGTTTGAGTTTACCCTTATTATTAGTAGTTAAAATGTTTGAGTATACCCTTATTATTATTAGCAGTTAAAATGTTTGAGTTTACCATTATTATTATTAGTAGTTAAAATGTTTGAGTTTACCCTTATTATTAGTAGTTAAAATGTTTGAGTTTACCCTTATTATTATTAGTAGTTAAAATGTTTGAGTTTACCCTTGTTATTATTAGCAGTTAAAATGTTTGAGTTTACCCTTATTATTATTAGTAGTTAAAATGTTTGAGTTTACCCTTATTATTAGTAGTTAAAATGTTTGAGTTTACCCTTATTATTATTAGCAGTTAAAATGTTTGAGTTTACCCTTATTATTATTAGTAGTTAAAATGTTTGAGTTTACCCCTTGTTATTATTAGTAGTTAAAATGTTTGAGTTTACCCTTATTATTAGTAGTTTAAAATGTTTGAGTTTACCCTTATTATTATTAGTAGTTTAAAATGTTTGAGTTTACCCTTATTATTAGTAGTAGTTAAAATGTTTGAGTTATTTTTATTACCAGTAAGCTTACCAGTTAAAATGTTTAAGTTACCCTCACTACCGGTATGCTTAGAAGTTAAAATGTCTGAGTTACCCTTAGTACCGGTAACCTTAGAAGTTAAAATGTTTGAGTTACCCTTACTACCGGTAAGCTTAGCAGTTAAAATGTTTGAGTTACCCTTACTACCGGTAAGCTTAGCAGTTAAAATGTTTGAGTTACCCTCACTACCGGTAAGCTTAGCAGTTAAAATGTTTGAGTTACCCTCACTACCGGTAAGCTTAGCAGTTAAAATGTTTGAGTTACCCTCACTACCGGTAAGCTTAGCAGTTAAAATGTTTGAGTTGCCCTCACTACCGGTAAGCTTAGCAGTTAAAATGTTTGAGTTACCCTTACTACTGGTAAACTTAACAAAAAAAAACAACTGCCGTCAATCTTGGTAGTAAAGTCATGGTAATAGTCATGGTATTAGTCATGTCAGTAGACAGTCATATAGTACAGTCACGGTAATACAGAAACATAAGAGAACAAGCTCTTATATCCGCTATTAAAGCTTTATTCTGCTTTAAGTCTTTCTAAAGCCGTTTTAGTGTTATTGGAAATGTTTGTGTGTTTTAATAGCCCTCAGGCCTTGAAGTTAACATTTTATTGCAGCGCTAACTAAACCAATGGCCACTGTGATCACACGACAAGTTTTTAAAGCTTGTAGTTGTATAATTTTATGGTATACTATTCTATATGAGTTTTCAGGCGAGAAATTACTATAACATAGAGTTTATTTGTCCAAACACTGACTAGAGCATGATCTATCATTAGTATTCTGAAGTGTATGTGAGGTCCAGTTTTGTCAGTGAATAAGACACATGTGCAACACCTGACTATATAAGACAGATGTTTCGCCCTTACAACAGGCATTTGCGCTCTAAATACGGAACATAATGACAGTAATTTGTATGAGATTAAAGAAAAAAGTCCGCTGTGCAGGCGATACGTCTCTCCAATAACGATACTTAGGTCTTACAGGTGTCTTATTCATCAATATATCGGTAGTGTATACCTTTGATCCAAGAGTTTCAGCAATGCACATCAGATTATTTAGTCAGTAAGAAAGTCACGTTGTAAAGTATAATGGTGACACGGGTGTAGTGACCAAAATAAGAGAGGTACTGTTACCGAGACAATGCAGTGGAAAATGAGAGGTGTAACTACGCTATTTTTCTTTCCTCGGGGTTGAAGGTAAGATCGAGGTGCAGAAAAACAACTGTGGAATAGAAATTTATCGAGATGTTTCGCCAGGGGAAGAGGTTTCTTCAGTGACTGAAATAAACCTGTTCCAAAGATGTAACGTCTTGATAACGTTCCTCTGCAACTGATTTTTTTTCTCCACCTATCGATTTTGCGTCATTTATCTCCAAGCATTTACAGTGACTACGCTTCACTTTATGCAAAGCTCTATACAGAGCGAAATGGTCTCATAAGTTTTCTCTGTAGCCTGGTCTTGCCTTCAATACTGTCGGCATTGCGCTCTTATGTCCAGTTCCTCAGGCTTGATACACTTCATATATGGTGCACTTATCTTGGAAAAAAAATCATCTGGCTAGGCCTGTGGACAGTTTTAATCCGTGCACTTCAAAAAACAGTCATTAAGTTAGTAGTTGAAAATATATCTTGTACATCCGACTAGGATTGAATCCAGATATAAATTTGCACACCTTAGAGAATAATCAGTAAGTTAGTATAGGTGTAAGGATATGTCTTGTTCTCGTGATCTTATTTTCGTGGATGACTAACACCCAGTTGTTGCCCTTAATTAAAGCCGGACGGAGCCAGTGACGAGGTAATTAGTAAAGTAATCAAGGCTGAAGTCTCCGCTTAGTCTCGTACTCTCTCACACGAGACTTGACCGCTTTTCTAACTCTCGTGTCTCCGTGTGAGGACTTACGCAGCTTGTCATCCTCTCGCTTACCTGCAAACACAAAGACTCTAGTACCAGGGCTTGAGTACTAGGCATACAGTACCAGACCACAAGCACCAGGGCTTGATTATAGAGCTTGTTTTCGAGAGCTCGAGTGACTGATACGGACACCCGAGCTCTAGTATGAAAGTTCAAGTAACCAGGCGCAGGTACAAGAACTTGAGTGACTGGGCCTTGATACCAGCTCCAAGTACCAGTAATCTAGAGTGTTGAGTGTGCCCAGGGAGAAGTTGATGATAGCTGGACTTCCTAGAGCGTCCTTTCTTTCTGTATAAGCTTGGAATGCGCCGATTTTCTCTCATGTTCCTCCTCTCTCTCCTCACCAGCATTTCATAAAGACCTTCCGGATGCATCTCATTGCAACTCTCGTTATCTTTATCTTAAACTCTATCCGTCTTCGAATGGTAATGCTGCTAGTAGAGTTGATTATTCTTATTTGTTAATGATAATTTTACTTTTCCGTTTCCCGTGGGCGGGCGAGGCTCGGGACACGGCCATCTCAAGCTACTTTTGTCCCAGCTGTCATTTTTGTATGATGCTGCTTCGTTTTAATCTTTCAGATATTTTCCCCCCCTCTCCTTCATTGCCTGCTTTTCTTCTCTTTCTTCTCTCTGCCTGTCCTCCATCTTCACTCTGTAAAGGCTGAGAGACAGCAAGGGTCGCCAGGGACACCACAGTCCCGCAGACAGTCTCGTACTCTGTCACTTGTGGATCAGCCTCAGGCCCAGCCTCAGGCCCAGCCTCAGGGCCAAGCTAAAGCCCAACCTCAGGCCCAGCCTCAAGGCCAAGCTAAAGCCCTGCCTCAGGGCCAAACAAAGGCCCAGCCCAGAGTCCAACCTCAGCAGGTAATCCCCTGGAATCTTACCTGATGCATGACTTAGTTAGCCCACGAAGACCACACCAGTGGACCCTCTGTAGCTCTGGGCTGTCAGGAGTTAGATGACCGCAGTGCCCATTTTTTGTATAGCTGAGTTTTCAAGTACATCCACGGTAAGTAGCACTAGAGTTAATAGAGTCGGTAGATGAGATAACTTAGATCTTGAATGCTGATCTAGAGGGCAAGGAGACAACATTTTTGATCTCACGAGGAAGCATGATCAACATCTGCAACTTAAGAGACAATCTGCAGATCAAGTTTTGCAACTTTCTCCCCTTTTATATCTAAACTTTCTATATATTTCTATATATATTAGCTCTTCCAAAAAAATATATTTAAAAATTTATACTCTGTATTTGTACCATAAACTTATGTATTTTTTTTATTTTTTAAGCTAACTAATTGTGTTTTTTCTTTTCTTTTCTTGTTGTCTTCTCAGGCGAGGCTTAAGCAGGTATTGGTTGTGAAGGAGTAGGCAGTGTTGGGGCAGTGTGATGTTGGAGTGGTGGTGTGGCACTCAGTGATGGAGGAAGTATTGACATGTCACTCAGTATATTCCGTTTCGTGCTATACCACTTGTAGTTACAAGCTGAAGCATTGTGACTTACCCATACAGACTGCTAGCATGCTCATGCTAGAATATTAGTCACAAGAATTCTGGGGGTTTATGTACGATAGATCACATTCAAGGTAGCTGGGAACCATAATGCTGGCGATTCCTCGTGTTATTAATAATAGCAAGGGGTCAAAGCAGCTAGGTTAACACAGCAAAATGGGATAAGGCATTCCTCTATTGTTATGTTCTTATTTCCTTCCGTATCAAGATTTTACTTCCATTTTAATTTGAACATCAAGCTCCAGGGACACTGGAGATGCTCCTCTGCTCACATCATTCTCGTTTGCGTTGCTAGGAAACCGTGTCCAGGATAATGTATCACACACACTTGACACAGGTTATGGGTTGCCAGATATAAATTGAAGGGCTGCGCAGGATAAATACTGTAAATTTTCTCCCCACTTAATCTCCGCCTTCCCTAACAACAGTCTTCGTTGTTTGCATGTCTAGGGTGGAAACGTTAGCAATGCTTCCTAACACCTGTTGCCCCTGTTCACCTAGCGGTAAGTAGGTGTCTGGGTGTTAGCTTACTGTTGTGGGTCGCATCCTGGGGGCGGGTTATATACAGTAGATAGGGCTAGGCTTTGAAATGATTTGAGGTAGGAAACTATTCTTAGCTTACAAATTCATCTGTTCAAAAAAAATAGTGAAGCAACTTGGAGTACTGTATTACGATATAGGGCTCAGCTCGGGGCTCTCATTGGTTAGGACGCATCTCTGACGTACCGGCAAAATAACCAATCACGACAAAACCTTGTAACTCGGGGCTCTCATTGGCTGCGTAGCTGCTCTGAGGCACCGTAAAGGCAACCATTCACGAGAGTCACATAGCTCGGAGTTCTCATTGGCTGGAAAGCCTCATTAAGACATCACAAAGTAACCAATCAGGAGAGGGTCACGCAATCAAAACACTCGTACAAATTCCAACAAATAATGAAGACGACGAGAAATAAGTTCAGTTAATTTTATGAAAAAATAAAAACCCATGAGTCAGCACTTGTGGTATAGCAGTGTGTTGCTCCCAACACTTGTAGTATAGCAGTGTGTTGCTCCCAATACTTGTAGTATAGCAGTGTGTTGCTCCCAACACATGTAGTATAGCAGTGTGTTACTCCCAACACTTGTGGTATAGCAGTGTGTTGCTCCCAACACATGTAGTATAGCAGTGTGTTGCTCCCAACACATGTGGTATAGCAGTGTGTTGCTCCCAACACATGTGGTATAGCAGTGTGTTGCTCCCAACACATGTAGTATAGCAGTGTGTTGCTCCCAACACATGTGGTATAGCAGTGTGTTGCTCCCAAACACATGTAGTATAGCAGTGTGTTGCTCCAACACATGTAGTATAGCAGTGTGTTACTCCCAACACTTGTGGTATAGCAGTGTGTTGCTCCCAACACATGTAGTATAGCAGTGTGCTGCTCCCAACACATGTGGTATAGCAGTGTGTTGCTCCCAACACATGTAGTATAGCAGTTTGTTGCTCCCAACACATGTAGTATAGCAGTGTGTTGCTCCCAACACATGTGGTATAGCAGTGTGTTGCTCCCAACACATGTAGTATAGCAGTGTGTTGCTCCCAACACATGTAGTATAGCAGTGTGTTACTCCCAACACATGTGGTATAGCAGTGTGTTGCTCCCAACACATGTAGTATAGCAGTGTGTTGCTCCCAACACATGTGGTATAGCAGTGTGTTGCTCCCAACACATGTAGTATAGCAGTGTGTTGCTCCCAACACTTGTGGTATAGCAGTGTGTTGCTCCCAACACATGTAGTATAGCAGTGTGTTGCTCCCAACACTTGTGGTATAGCAGTGTGTTGCTCCCAACACATGTGGTATAGCAGTGTGTTGCTCCCAACACATGTAGTATAGCAGTGTGTTGCTACCAACACTTGTGGTATAGCAGTGTGTTGCTCCCAACACTTACGGTACAGCAGTGTGTTGCTCTAGACATTGCTGAATATACTGAGTGCCGCGTTAATACTGCACAACACACACACAGAGAGAGAGAGAGAGAGAGAGAGAGAGAGAGAGAGAGAGAGAGAGAGAGAGAGAGAGAGAGAGAGAGAGAGAGAGAGAGAGAAAGGAGATTAAATCTTTCACAATTTGCAACTTTGCCAGTCTCTTCCAACCTCGGGCACAGAGCCGTAGTAGGTAGTAAATTAGGCTAAATGGGGAGAGTAGACTTAGTGGTCTGAGTAGGCCTAGTGAGCAGAGTCCGCCTAGTGAGAGTAGGCCTAGTAGAGCTGTAGTCATAGTGTATACAAAGACACAGTGGCCACCGTAGCCATAGTCAACGGTGCCATTGTGACTATGTTCTGTAATTTATTTTCTCAGTTATATTTTTCTCTGGATTAGATTTTTTTTTTCATTTCCTTTCCTTACAAAATTCTTTTTGTAAAAATTTCTTTCCATGTATTTTGTATTTCATTTGCCAATGTTCTCGTCTTTTGTTATTGTTTTCTGTTGTTTTTAATGGAGGTTGTGAGAGCTTTTGTTATTGTTTTCTGGACGTTATAATAATTATATGAGAGTAGGGATTTTGACACCATTTTTCCCCTCTCGTGGTATAGAAGTTAATTATTATTATATTCAAGAAGATGTATAGAAGTTAATAAACTCCAGTTATGAATCGAAAATATTTCTTAAATACATCGAGACAGCGTCTAACGCGAAGTCCAAAATAATTGTTGAATATCTCAAGCTGGTTAGGTTAGGTTTGTCAGGAAACAGGACAAGTGTTTCCTGACGCTGGTCTTCAGGTTAGGTTAGGTTAGGTTAGGTTAGGTTAGGTTAGGTTAGGTCAGGGTTGTCAGGAAACAGGACAAGTGTTTCCTGACGCTGGTCTTCAGGTTAGGTTAGGTTAGGTTAGGTCAGGGTTGTCAGGAAACAGGACAAGTGTTTCCTGACGCTGGTCTTCAGGTTAGGTTAGGTTAGGTTAGGTCAGGTCAGGGTTATAGGAAACAGGACAAGTGTTTCCTGACGCTGGTCTTCAGGTTAGGTTAGGTTAGGTTAGGTTAGGTCAGGTCAGGGTTATCAGGAAACAGGACAAGTGTTTCCTGACGCTGGTCTTCAGGTTAGGTTAGGTTAGGTTAGGTCAGGTCAGGGTTATCAGGAAACAGGACAAGTGTTTCCTGACGCTGGTCTTCAGGTTAGGTTAGGTTAGGTTAGGTTAGGTCAGGGTTATCAGGAAACAGGACAAGTGTTTCCTGACGCTGGTCTTCAGGTTATGTTAGGTTAGGTTAGGTTAGGTCAGGGTTATCAGGAAACAGGACAAGTGTTTCCTGACGCTGGTCTTCAGGTTAGGTTAGGTTAGGTTAGGTCAGGGTTATCAGGAAACAGGACAAGTGTTTCCTGACGCTGGTCTTCAGGTTAGGTTAGGTTAGGTTAGGTCAGGGTTATCAGGAAACAGGACAAGTGTTTCCTGACGTGGGCCTTAGTCTTATGATGACCCACCGTTGAAGCTTTTAGTCATCTGACGGAGGCCTTCCACTAGCTTACCCTCCTCCCCCTTTAAAAATCTGTGGTTATAATTATAATCACCAGAATTTCTAACTCCATAAAGCTAGCTCTTCTACCAGGAGTATAAATTAAGTCAAATTTCTAAATATTGTTTTTGCACAGAGAATTATTATATAATAATAATGATTATATAATCATATTGTTATATATTATATAATGTTCTGTAATCATAATACATATAATCATAAGATTATTATTATAATCATAAATAAGTGCTAAACCCACAAGGGTCATATAGTAATAACAATAAAAAAACTAATAATAATAATAAATCATTATTATAAAAAAAACTGTCACTGTGTCGATGACTCAAATTTTTTTTTCAAAATTTGAGATTGTGTCCCTCGTCACCATCGCCTCTGTCAGTTTTTCCTTTATCCATTTTTCCCGTCCATTCGCCTCCTGGCTCTCCCTCCTTTCGTAGTTCGAATCACAGGACGGGTGGGGTTGAATCCAAGGCAACTGAGTCTTCAAACTCACGGGTCAGTGCGTTAACACACTGACCTGTGAAATTTAGGACCCACTCGCCATGGTTTCAAACCCCCGTCCGTTTCAGGATTTGTTTGCAGTCATGTTATTACGATTTCGTGATTCTTGTAGTCCGAGCATCATTAGAAACTTTTCCTTCTCTCCTGAGCGTTGAGTTATCCATGGCGGCCTCCCAGCCGCTTCTTGTATGGTAGATGTTATGGTAGATGTCGGCTCTCATGGGCGTCTGATGACCAATTTCTGTGTGTATTTCCACACTGCAGTTTTCTTATTTTCTCTCTCTATCTTTATTTTTAAATTTATCATATCTCCTGATGTTTCAGCTTCTTTTCCCTCT